AGATAAATCAACTTCAGATTAATTCATTATCGATAACTTGCATCCTTAAGGAGTTAACTTAAATTATATCTACTCATATTCATGTAATTAAGTGTTTTAATGATTTGGCCGATAAATCGATTAATCGAAAAAATAATCAACAGATTAATCGATTATTAAAATAATCGTTAGTTGCAGCTCTACGTAGATACAATTATGACATTATTTATTTTACTGGCTAATGAAAAGGGTAATCATTTCAATCAGAGACAGACAGGGCTGACTTAGTTTATTGATAATCTGCTTTGTAGTATCGATACATGAGATTCCCTTTGTGTGTGGCTACACATCGTGTCCCCATCACACCAAAGCAAACATTTAAGAGAAGAGAAACGCTGGTTAAAAATGTCTGCTCGTTTCATTTCTGTGCAATGTGAGATTCTGTGAAAAATATTTGAAATTAACCTTTCACACTTCTCCCACCACTCTTCCTCTGCAGCTCTGCAAAGTTTCAGTTGGAGCCGCAGAGATGAATTTTCCATGATTGATTAGTTACCACAAACTGGCCTGAATCTCTTACACGAAGTTAAACTGAATAAGATTTGATGTTGGGTTAAAATTCTGCAAAAAATGATTTCAAACCCTCATTCCAGTGATGACTTTGTCCCGTTTAAGATCAGTAGACCTACATTTATCCTCCTCCTCCTCTCGCTTGCAGGATCCATACAACATGATGAAACCGAAGAGCTACGCTGGCACTAAAACCGACCCCCACCTGGTTCCCTCCGTCACAAACAAGAGGCTGGTGGGATGTGTTTGTAAGTTCCTCCTCTTCCTCCAGTTTTTCTTTTTCCATTTTGTTCAAACACACTCATGTCTGGAACAACAATCTGCAGCCAGTCCAGCAATGAGGACAAACGTAAACAGTGAACTTGGCATTTAAAGTGTATCTTACCCCCCCCCCCGTGAAAAGATAACTCCGCCCCAAGGCGAAATTTGAAAAATGCATCAAAGTGGGTAGGAGGGGGGGTGGGGTTAGAGAGCGGAGGTGTGACCAGGACGAGAGAACGTGACAGCCTCGGCTGAGCTGTCCGCCTCACACCACAGCAGCCTCCGACAGAGGAGGTGGAGAGCTCCGCGACAGCCTGACATGAAAAAATAAAAGCATACAGCTGCAGCTGCTCACAAGATCACTAGTTTAAATCAGGAATAAAAGTGTTGGGTCTTGTTTGACTGAAGTTCGGTCCGTTAGGGCTGCAGCTGCCCCGCTGTCTTTCTGCCTTTTTTTCCCTCCTCCCCTCCCGCTGTGTAGGAAGTGCTGGTGTGTGTGTTTGTGTGTGTGTGTGTGTGGAGAGAGGGAGACAGAGAGCAGTGCAGCAGTCAGCTCTCCCCACCCGAGGCTGAAGGTCAACAGACGATCATGCTAAGCTTGCTAACTGTTCCACCCTCTGACTGCTGCAGGGGCGTGTCTTAGGCTACGTTCACACTGCAGGCAAATCCGACTCATATCCAATTTTTTTATGACAGTCTGAACGAGACAAATCCTATATTTTCAAATCCGACCCAGGCTGTTTCAGTATGCGGTTTTAAAT